ATCAGCCAGCGTCCCCGCGACTCTACCCTAAAACTTCCACTTTTATCTCCGCACTAGTTCATGCACTCTGACCTTTTCAGCTTAGATGTGATTAAGGTCCAAAAACAACGCATAAAAAGAAAATATATAAAAAAAAAAAAAAATAGGGTTTGTATTTAAACAGGAAGTGAAGTACCCTTAGATTAAGACAGGACAACGCATCACAAAAATGGTTTGGAAATGCAATTAATTGAATTTAATATTTCTATATATATATGTATATGAACAGTTTCTTGCAAACCTACAGTATCTACCCCCCCCCCCCCCCCCCCCCCACCCTCCCTCTCTCTCTCTGTGGCCACACACATCAAACATGTACTGCGCTCTCTGTTCTCTCTTTGTCATCAGCTCTTAATGGGTACTGGTCTTTGATGTGGCTTGTTTGCTGCCATTGTCTCCAGCATGTCTTGATCAGCGTCCATTGATCTGGTGGGGGGCGACATGAAACCAACTTCAACACTGGCACACACACACACACACACACACACACACACACACACACACACACACACACACACACACACACACACACATCAAACACACACACGGGGAGTAGGGGAACCATTGAATCAAAAGCCATATTTTACTAGCTGAGGAGTCGCTGCATGAAGCGTAGCAGTTTCTCATGTTCTGAATATGTTATGTTTCACACGAGGTCAGTGAAATACACAATGAAGGACGATCAACAGAGGAGAGCCTAGAGAGGGAGAGTTTAACATACTCAAAGCTTTGGAAAATGACACATTTTTTAAGTGCTGTTGATGCCCCAATGCAGCAGATGAAATATTTTAAACAAAAGAAACCTATAGAGTCATGAAGGGTGAAATATGATGTAATGTTATGTTATGTATTGCCAGATTTTTTGCGAATACCCAGCTTGGGATGTCACACACAGAGGAGTGTAGAGTTACTTATGAAAATGTAGAACTGTGAGTGTACTTATTGCATGCAAACCATTCTTAGTTTATTTTCCCAAATATCAAAAGCCTTCTTGTACAATCCACATGAGGGAGCATTTCTTGCGTTAGGACTGCATCAAACCCCATTCATTTAAAACACTCATTAGATGGTGTGTGTGTGCGTGTGTGTGTGTGTGTGTGTGTGTGTGTGTGTGTGGGTGTGGGTGTTTGCTGTTACAATATATAGGGTCTAAGCAATGTGCCCTGATAATTCCCATCACGACACCCTCTGGCATGCCATCACTTTCACATCAAACATCCCTGAAAGAATGTAGTCGTCTTATCCGTCCAAGATATGATAAAAGGATGTCTGTTTTGAGGAGAACAGAAGAAGAGCACATCTCTTTGATGGACCAAAGCACCAGTCATAAAGCTTATCTCACACACACACACACACACACTGATGCACACAAACGCACACAGGGCAGCCGTCTTGCTGGGCCCTGACCGTTGCACATTGATGTCTGAGGCTGCTTTCTCCTGACTGACTCCAAGGTTATTGCATCGCACCATGGAAGCACAGGATATTTGGCGGTCCCCTGCCAGAGGGCCAGGGTGGGAGGGGGAAGTTGCCATTGACAACTTAGTGATCTCCGAAGTGACCATCTGAAAAGAAAAAAAAGGAGAAAACTTATTAAGAGAGACCAGTACAGGGGAGGCTGTGGGGCTAAATCTGTCGCAGCTAGTTTAGTTTTAGTTTAGTTTATTTGCACATTTTTTTTGAAAAAAGAGTCAAACAGAAAAGTACAAATAGAAAATAAAACACATGTGCAGGTGAGGTAGAAACCCATGAGGGCTTATCTCAAAACCTCACCTTAAGAGATTAAACAAAGTTAAAATAAAATACAGGAAAAATAACAAAGTAAGAATATTTACTATCACAAATAAAATGTACCCAATTGAAAAATTACATACAAACATTGAAAACATAAAAATAGAGCAAAACAGGACATACAGTATGTAAACAATATAACAAAATCAGGACAATTCACTATGTTCACTGTGTTTTCAAGAAACGGACCAGGCCAATTCATGACTCCTGCAATTACAGCTGACTTCCACAGTTGACCTAATGAAGAACAGCGAGTCTGTTGAGAAGAGCCGGGAGTTGGGGTTTAATCCGTAAAACTTAAAAGACCCCACAAACCAGTGTTTCCAATCCAAAATGAATCATACAGTGCAGGACAATGGGAGATATATTGGAGCCGTTGTGGGCGAGATCAGAGGTTTGCTGACTCCAGAGGAATCCCCAGGATACGCTGTGAGTCGAGTCTTGTGCACAGATGAAAAATAAACATTAAGAAGAGAAAAGCGGGAGAGGGAGAAGGGGGGGGGGGGATGAGTAGGAGGCAGAATCAGAGCCAGCAAGTGTTTGAAGGGCAGCATCAGCAGAGAGATGTGGGAATTACATGCCTTCAGTTTCTGTGTGCCAAATGTTTACAGAGAGGAGGGGGGACGGAGGGTGGTTGGCGTTGGACAGTTATTCTTTTATCACACTTAACCCGATGAACATGTGTGCGCATTTGTGTCAAATGCAGGAAACAGGAGGAGGGCGAGGAGGGAGCCCGGGTACAGTTGTTCGACGATCAAAACCGCACATGTTTTTTGTTTCCTACATGTGTTTTCTTTCCCAATTATGCTCCAGCCTCCGAGTTGCAAAGAAAAAAAAAAACACATCCTTCTCCTCATCTCCAATTGCGAGCAGGGGGATGTTAGACCTTTTTTTTTTCTCTTCCAGAATAGAGCCTCTTTGCTCTTTCTGTTCGGTATTGTTTGTGTGCGTTTCCTCCTATAGCTCGGGCAGGCCTCGCATTGAGGGCAGCAAAAAAAGAAAAAAGACAGCGGCCCGACGGCCTTTGATGTTCATGTTTTATGGTCCGATGTCAACGCATTGTCTGCTGAGTGCTTTTGTTGTCCCTCTGCCTAATTAAGACCTCAGAGGGACTTGTTGACTCCACAAAGACCCTTGTTTAGGGAGGGGGGGAAGGTTGGTATGTGTGTGTTTTTGTGAGACGAGGGGGTGCATGTGTGTGTGTGTGTGTGTGTGTGTGTGCATGTGGGTGTGACTGCTTTGATTTGGACATAGTTATGGAGAAAAAGTTCAAAACAGCAGACAGACACACACATCACCTCCTACATACAAAGGCATAGGCTTTGACATGTGAGGTCATTTGTTTCTTCTTTGAGGGCCGTTTATCTCTAGCTTAGAAGAGAATTTAGCACGCACTTTAACACGCAGTGAATTTATATTTTCTATATTTTGATTCTTATTTTCAACCTTGGAAATGCACCCGTCTGTTTTTAATTTCTGCCATCTTCCTTTGGATGTTGGACAGGTCTAGTGTCAACAGTCTGCTGTTAATCCACCTTCTTAGCAGATACACTGCTAGAACACAAACACACACACATGTAGTCCTGCGGCTTTGATGTCTTTGACAAGAGAAGGCTGAAAGGTCACCTGTCTCTGAGCCATACTGTACATGAAATAGAAGACAGGGAGAGCAGTGGGCACAAATACGAGGGATGTAAGTCCTGCTTAGCCAGCAGTAGAGACCTGTTTTGCAAATTTTTATATCTGAAAAATAAATGCTGTAAATGCAGAATATTGTGCAGAAAGTGCAGAAAATACATTATGAAACAAAGGGTTGTTCAACAGTTTGATATGTTAACCGTCGTAGTGGGCTTTCACTGTCAAACATCTCAACCACACACATATGATTAAATTGAAAAACAACGTGAAGAGCATTCAAACCCCAGAATGACAAGCTCAATTATTCCATGAAATAACGGACTAAAAATGTGTTATCATAATCCAACAACAGTCCTTTCTCAGTCTCAAGTGAAAAAAAAAAAGTCAATGGTGTTGTGAATCTGTGTGTGGCTCTGTCCATCTGTTATCCAATCCCGGGGACCGATAAAAATCCAGTCCCTCCTCAACACATTCTCATCCTCACATCCTCCAAACATGCAGCCGTCACACGTAGAACATTCAAGGACGTGTTTCTGCATTCATCATGCAGACAAAGAAAACAAATGGGCCGGCAGTAGCTCAGTCTGCAGGGACTTGGGTTGGGAATCAAAGGGTCACCGGCTCAAGTCCCGGCACGGACCAAGTCCAGAAATTGGTCTGGTAGCTGGAAAGGTGCCAGTCCACTTCCTGAGCACTGCTGAGGTGCCCTTGAGCAAGGCACCAAACCCCACAACTGCTCTGGAGGGCTCACTGTGGCCCCCTGACTCTTAGACCTCTCCATTAATGCATGTCCACAGGATCCTGTGTGTGTATTTCAGCCTATGTTTGTGTAGCATGTTCATTAAACAGTGTAAAACTGAATTTCACCTCACAGGAATAATAAAGGATAAATTATAAATAAATCACATGAACACCAGAACACAACACAACACACCTTAAAAAAAAAACTAACACAAGTGCACGCCATACAGTCAGTATGGTATGCAAATGTGACTTTGAACGTGTGTGTTGTTTGCATCCTGTGGTTTCTGTTTCTGCGTTTAGCTCCATACCAGTGGGCTTTTTTTTGGTGTTGACACAGATGTGCTGCTTTGAGCCAAAGGGATGTGTGTTTTGGGACTCCTCTCTCTGCAAACAGTGTCTGGTTTTCTTGTTTTTTCACTTTGCACCGTGTTGCAGAAACACATTTGTGAGGGATGAGACAGGCGCTGATGAAGAACGGTTATTAATCTGAGTTAAAAGTGTGCATACCTGTGTTTGTGTATGTTTGCTCTTCTGGGAGGGGCACATGTGGTTTTGTGTTGCCTGGTACACAGATTGTCCATCGATCATTGAATGCAGCATGAGCTGACGACATTAAGCTTATACTGCAGCCTTTCTTTCTTCTCTCTTCTTTTTTTTTTTTTTTTACAACACAGCCTGTCCAAAACAAACCACTTCACATTTTACAGCAAGGAAACATCTGCAGACCTTTATCATCATTGTGTTTCTCTCAGATTAAATCTGTCTCTCTTTTTTTGTGTATGTCACAGGTTGTCCCATGCCCAGAGATCAGCTGTGAAAGTCCTCCGCAGAATGCAGTACTTTGTGGCCAGGAAGAGATTTCAGGTGAGCAAAGACAAATACAGACAGAAACAGAATTCTACGTGGGCAAAAGCTTGGGGATGTAAAGATAAAGAGAGAGACAGATTGAGCGTGGAAGAAGTGTGTTTGTGTACAGGATAAGGAGGGGAGGGGAGGGGGGGGGTCCCAAGGGCATATATAAGCTGCAGTACTGCCATCCATGTGCATGTGTGTGTTTGTGTGTAAATGCCTACAACCTGCACCTGCATGTCTTCTTTTTGCTCACTTCAGTTCAGGCATAGTATCATGGGAAATCTACTAACCTGTCTCTGGGGCTACAGTAGGAATTCACTTACTGTACTGCACTTAAACACACTTAAAATACACACACACACACACACACACACACACACACACACACACACACACACACACACACACACAGCAGGACATGGCCTCACATAGCACTGCAGTCGGCAGAATTATGTTAGAAAATTGTGTGCATTAAGTATAACAGTAAAAAAAACATGGCTATCGTTTTCATGCTATATGTTATTGCAGAATGGTTCTTATATTCTTACCGTTTCCAAGTGTTGTTCATGTTTTCAATTATGGCCTAAGTGATGTCAGCTGTGCAGGCTATACTCTGTGTATACCAAGGAGACCCTAAAGAGTTCACCGGGTTCTTTCTGACGCTGCTTGTATCCACGTCACACTAAACAAAGCTGTGAAAGGACCTTAACACGATTGCTTTCTACACACACACACACACAATGAGTTAACAATGAACCCTTTGCACCCAAGGGGGTTGGGGATGTTTTTGTTTTTTTCGGGGGGACCAAGCAGGAGCGGCACTAGTTGACAATGGCTTTTGTGTCCCTGTGTGTGTGTGTGTGTGTGTGTGTGTGTGTGTGTGTGTGTGTGTGTGTGTGTGTGTGTGTGTGTGTGTGTGTGTGTGTGTGTGTGTGTGTGTGTGTGTGTGTGTGTGTGTGTGTGTGCGTGCGTGCGCGCGCGCGCGCGCGTGCGTGCGTGCGCGCGCGTGCGTGTGTGTGTGTGTGCGTGTGTGCGTACGCCTGTGCGGGTGCATTGATCAACAGCAAGCGCGGAAGCCGTATGATGTGCGAGACGTGATCGAGCAGTATTCCCAGGGTCACCTCAACATGATGGTCCGCATCAAGGAGCTGCAGAGGAGGTGCTGACTTTCACCTTTTTCACACTATTTCTTCCTCAATCTCAGTCTCTGACATTTTGGTCAGTAGTGTAGTAAGACAAGTCATAGTTGAAGAAAGAGGGAGGGAGTTGTAGTCAGAAAACACAACATCACATTTTAAAGGACAGATCCTGTTGAGCTCAGATCTTTTATGTTTTTACAACCAATTGTTCCAATTACAGTTCCCTAATTGTGAAAATGAGATGTTAGCCTCTTAACCTGGACTAGGGAGCATGTGCAACATTTTACACAAATACAGTAGAAATCAAGTATATCATATATGTCTCCCTGAGTCATTACTGTCAATAATGAGTGAGAAGCTCGAGGCTGTGTTGTTGTCGGAGCCGTGTTAACATGGACAGGACAGGGCTTCCTACCCTTGCGCATAAAAGCTGTTTTAGTCAAGGACTAGAGAAAAGAAGAATAACATACTCACTACTTATTTAAATGACACTCAAGTGTTTTTAGATCAAGGCCGTTCCGTGTCAATTTACAGAACATGCAATGTAAAGCTACGAGCTAACTAAAGAACACTTATATTAGCCAATGCAGGCTTAGGGCGACTGCAGCTCGAGCCAAGGACAATTTTGTCTGCCGCTTGCGCTTGACTCCTTCATGGGAACACGAGTGAAGGAGGGTTGGAGGTGCATCGCTGGAGGAGAACAGAGGCTTTGGAATAGCAGAAGTGTTTCCAAACAGCAGTTTTGGTTTCATTCTGGTGCTTAAAGTCGACATCTACGGGATCAAAAAGTCACTCTCTCAGGAGAAATCTCGTGGCGTTAACTACACCCTGGAGATAGTCCCAAAGTTTGACAATGAGGAGGAGGAGACTCACATACTTATTGTGGAGGGATTTATGCTTTACAACTACGAGCACTTGATTGACATGCTGAACCAACGTTACTTTATTTCCATCCCGTACAAAGAATGCAAGAAGAGGAGGTGCTGGAGGAACTTAAAGATGCCTTGTGTGGCCCATATATTTGAAACTCAAGACTCACTACTTCCTTTAAATATTTAATAGATTTCAAATTGTCAGAATTAGCTTCCTGCCTGCAGCCAACTATTCAGCCAAACCATGTCATAGTATAGTATATGTTTTTATGGGAAATGGGCCATTCTGCAGAAAGAGAACTCTTACTTTTAGAATTAAATTTAAAGTGCTTATGGCACAAACTTGCTGCAAAGCACAGCTTTGTAATTTACCCAAATGTTATTGTTATTATATGAGCATTTGCAGTAAACACATCCTAAAAGTCTGATTTTAACGCAATATAAAAAAGACAAAATATGTGGTTTGTCATGTCTGCCTGGCATTTTGATGCAGTCATATGAAATGACAGTTTAGGCATGAAAAAAAAAAGCCTTTGGGATTTCTTTTGGTTTCAGGAGAACATGTTGCAAACACAGGTATAGTGTAAAACAACGAGAACAGCAGATAGATATAGAAACTGTTTGTTATAGTTATTTCATTTTGTATTCTTCACACTCTATATTGTTATAAACATATTAAAATGTTAAACAATGTTATAGCTCAAAGCATATTTCTCTCATATCGTGCAGGCCTGCTGTGAGGTGTCACATTGAACACTTGCGTTTGTTGTTAGTCTTGCTCTGCTGATATCATGCTTGGCTGAACTGGGTCAGGAAGACAAAAGGAAGAGTTGATGTCTTCATTGCAAAATGTCTTCATTCAGCTGTCAGTAGTTCACACCTAACAGTTTCTGTCAGTGGGATCATCCTCCTGCAGAGACATAGTGTAGCAGCCTCTGATTAGTTCCACTGTGCTGTGCTTTGTTGACCTGTAATGAAGTCCAGTCCTCACCAAACTGCAATTTTTTCTGCATTTTTAGGGGAGTTTCTTTTTTTTTTTTAGTCTAATCTGCAAACCCTTTCCTATGCAGGAGGTCGGTTAGGTAACAAATTGGGTCAAAGTTATGTAAAACTATCACCTGGACCTCGTAACACAAATTCACAGTAATTCAGCTGAACCACAGTAATGTGCTGTGAAATTCTCAAACCAGCAGGGCATCATAGCATATCTGTAAATCAATCTTTGATTATTTGATGGACAGTAATCCATTAACTACCCACTCTGTAAGAAAGCTTCAAGACTCAATCTCAATGTTTCTAGATTTTGTATTTACATCATGTACAAGCCAAATAAGACTAAAAACAAAACTTACCTTTAAAGATCACTTTTTATGCAAAATAGATTTTACCATGTTTTTCTTACACTAATATGTGCCCTTAGTCTGTGTACAAACCACCCAATTATGAGAAAAGTCCATCCTCTCAGTTTTTTACCTGCTCCACTTTTCAGAAAATGTGTGCTCAAATAGGCCGTTTGGAGATTTCCCTTTTATGACATCACAAAGGGCAGTAACCCCTCCCCAAGGATGGTGACACTCCCACAGCCAGGTTTTCTTTCTGCCCTCTGAGTCCACCTTCTCATAGTAAATAATTGGGCATGGTGCAAAAAAAATCAATCCCTTCTAGAGGGGCGAGGTCAGACACAGCTCATTTGCATTTAAAGCTACAGACACAGAAACAACCCGTTCTGAGCAGGGCTGAAATAGAGGGGTTTATAGGCATGATCAAAAACAGGATCAGAGTGGATTTAGAACAAGAAACTTCACAGACATTTTTGGCGACCACTGAGACTTATTTAAATTTGTTGAAAAGGAGTATAATATGTGCCCTTTACCAGAAAATCCAAAGATAAAGACACTGCACTGCATCAGAAGCACCTATAATGAGTCAACTAGATAATTAAAATAATATTAAAAAATGTGATTGCTACGATGGAAAATCAGCCCAGAATTTTGAGGTGATTTCCCTTCTTTACTACTTTTCTAGATTACTTACTAATGGTCCACAAAAACAAGTATACATAGTTGTTTTTTTTAATTTGACACCTCAGTTAGAAAAATATTTTTTCAGCCATTAAAACATCCATCTAGGTTTTTTTCCACTGTGAAATCAGTGACAGATAAATACTACACAGAGTGGTTGATTTCTTTGAATTCCTATTGGCCTGGCAATTTAACCTGTTATTCTGTTAATACTTGTGAATCTCCTCTGTATCTGCACAGTGTTTTTTAAGTATTTCTCTCTCCTTCCAGGCTGGACGGCACGCTGGGGAAGCCAGGAATGTTTCTTCCAGGTAAACACACAGCAAACACAACAGTCTCCATATGATAGACAGACATCACTCCTCACTGGCTCTTTGTGTTTACACCTCACACATATACAAGCTGTGCCAGACTAAATATGAGAGCCAGAGAGGACCCTGTTTTGTCAAAGTTTAGATTAGGGGGCGTTTCTGTGTGTTTTCTGACTTGTAAAGATGTTACTTTGGGCACCATGTGTGTTTGCTTGTTCATGTGGATATAAATGTATGGATCCCGTTATTATTTGGTTTTACATTTCATTTCATTTTAATGACACTTTGGAGAACATCAGAATCAGATATTTACAGATTAATGAGTTAATATATTGAAATCAGTGAGGTTTGATTGATTTGTGTGATTTGATGTAACAGCTGTACTCATCTAATGTTGGAATTGATCATATAGTTCACAAAGTTCGGCTACTGATGTGAAGTATGACTAACAACGAGCATTAGAATAGAAAAAGTGGAATTCTACTTTCATGCTCATAAGCAGCTGATCTCCTGATGAATTTGATTATTTTTTATACCAATAACAGCTGTATGGCTTGGTAAAAAAAAAAGCCTAAATATATCCTCCCACTACCTGGATTCAGTAATTAAAAATAAGAAGCCCTGTAACTAAAATACAAACTAATGATATAGAATAATCAGTGGGGTGAGGGGGCTCCTGGTAACAGCTTACAAAGCTTTAATTTCATCAGAAAACTGTGTTGGCTGGTGATAAATATATAAGTTAATCAGTGATACTAATTTATCGAGCAACAAACAACAACAAAAAGTGTCTATGTAACCAACAACAAATGGGCTAACATGAACATAAAAGACCACATTATCAGGATCCTTCTAGTTTAACAACTGTAAGACATAAAAGTTAAGTAGTCATTTTATGATTTTGAAAGAGTTGAAAACTTTATCATTATAATTTTGTGGCCTGTATTGTATTTATATATCAATCAAAAGATTCTCCACTTCAGTTTCCATTGCCAGAACCTCCACTACCATGATTTCTGCTCCTTTCCTTGCCTTCCCCTCTCCTCTTTTCTTTTGCTCCAGCTCCGAGCTGTTATAGTAAACATCTTTTAGGCCCATCCTGTCTACTATGACACGGTTCATTTGGACAAGCCCCTGCATTGAGTAAACAGCTTTCAGAGCTCTGTACTTTTCAATTTTGCATACTCTCCAAAGCTACAGCACACCCAATTCACACTCACATCAACACAAAAAAACACAATGAATGAAAAGTTATAGACACACTCTGAATCATGCAACTATACTGTATACAAAATAACGACTGTAGTTGAGGTTTGAAACTTTAGAAAGCGTTTCTCTAACACTGTCGCATGGGAAGTGACGATTCTTTTAGCATGTCTAACCCTCACCTTTTAGGGTCGGATCGGTACGCTTGGCAGCAGAAGGGTAGCAAAAAAAGTAGGACGGTATGGATAGATTGTTTTGATACAGTTCCCGACTTTTGGCTGTGGAAACGCCATTACTGTAAATCTGTGCCGTACCAAATTGAACTGAACCACTTGGTTGAAACGATGTTGAAGAAAATAATGTGCTGCTAAACCATATTCAGGGATTCAGTAAAGAATAAACTTTGAACATAAAGGGTGCAGTTTGATGTCTTTGAAGGGAACATAACTGTTTCTGACATTAATTTATTGTAATATTAAAGTAAAACCTGCAAAAAAGGAACTAAAGCATGCTTTCATTAAGAGCTGTGACCCTTCAGGCAATAACTGCTAAAGAAAAATATAATGTGTGCGTGAGTATATCTTCAATTATCTGAGTGTGACTAAATGCACTTTTCTGCATCTGTTTTAGTGTCCATGCACTTAAAACCCCAACCTTTTTTTTGTCTTTGTCTGTTTCCAGGAAAAGGGGAAGATAAAGAATACCCAACCATCGGTGCACGGCTGATCAGGCTTGAAGATAAGGTAGGCACACTTCTACCTCTCACTGCTTGTGCTTGTGTGTGTGTGTGTGTGTGTGTGTGTGTAAGTGTAAGTGAGATGCAGTGATTAGATTAGTCCTGGTATTTAAAGCAGCACTATCTGTGTGTGTCTGCAGTCCTTTTGTGACTCTGTCTACTTGCGTCTCTGATATCAGATGTGTGCGTTTGGTGGACTCTTCGATATGAGCTTGTTGTGGCTGGGATCGGTTCATCTGTACCTACGTAAAACATACACCTGCGTTCCCTGCCCTCCATTTATCAGCATCCAGTCAGGCATGTGTTTTTGCTGCGCTTTTTAAAAAAGTTTTTTTCTAACTTCCATTCATTTTGATGATTTTCCATGCCAGCCCTTATTTTTCCCGTCATCACAGCTTGTTTGGTTGGTGACACTTTTTTGGATGTTTATGTTTCCATAAGCAAGGCTAAAGAGAAAATTGTTAATATACTGAGTCCGAGCCAAAAGGCAACAGCTGTGTTTTTTGAAGCCCACGGGTGTAACTAGGCGTGTCATCAGTCAAAGAGGAAAGAACACACAGCGATGCCAGCGTGCTGCCAGCCCTGATGCCGCCATGATGCCAGGATAGACATCATCCCTCAGGGGATTTGTTGGACCAGTTTGACTGGTATGTGAATGAGTCTGACTCTTTGCAGGTAGTAGCATAGGAGATTTGTTTGTTGTTGGTTTGTTTTGTGTGTCGCTGCATCAGTTCTTGGTTTTTTAGAAGTTCCCTAATGTCTGCAAGCGTTTGCTGTTCTCAAACTGCTTTGATATGTATTGAAGAGTAATGATCTTGAACCAGAGTACACGCTCTGAGTCTGAAGACCTCCCTCTGAGATTGAGTTACGGCCCATTTGCCCCTCGGCTGCATGATCGCAATCTGATTGAAAACATAAACCTGCATTGAGAAGTGCCCCCCCTTACCTGCCACTCTATTTCTCTCTTTTAAGTCTTTCATGTCTTCTCTGCCTTTTTTCTCTCTTTTCCCCCTTTCTTTTCTAATCTGCCTTAACCCGACAGATGAATAAGACTGAGAGGTGAATAATTGTGGAACAAATCAGTTTAACCTCACTGATGCAGCCTACCTCGAGAACAATGTGGGACCAATCACTGTCCCTATAATCATTTGTATGCATTGAACACATTGCTGCACCAAGTGTCCTTTCCCAGAGCCAACCATCCCTCATAATGACTATTTTCCTCTCCTTGGCACCCGCCCACTTCCCCTGTCTCATTTCTGGTCGTGTGAATTTCTTGTTTTTGATGATTCAGACGGGCAGGCACACCTGTTGGTGGAAGCGGAGCAAGAAGGGGGAGGGAGGGGTGGGGGGGGCGGGGGAGGGGGTATGGACTCCTTTTTCCCTCAGGCTGCAGGTGGATGAACCTGTCGACCTCTGAAACTTGGGACATTCCCAGCTCCTCCACAGAATTGTCTTCACACACTCTGTTTGTAGACACACTCAAGGCTGAATGAAGCTCCCTTCATAACACTGCACACTGTAGAGAAAACAAAAGAGCGACAACATTCAAGATGGACTTTCCATTCTCTATTGGAAACAGAAAATGTCATAGCTTTTGATATCCATGGTTTAATCACAGATTGGCCTATAGGCTACATTGATTAACATTTTGGACAGTGAAGAGGCACAAATCTTAAATTCACTCCATAGAAGAGGAGAAAAAAAGTTACTGTTGAAGCTTCGAAGGTGGCATTTCTTTCTGTTGTCTTGTTTGTTTTTCATTGAAACCATTTCATATTTCACTCTCATGTTTCTGGTAAATGGTAAATGGACTTGAGCTTGCAGTCTTCTGACTACTCAAAGAGCTTTTACACCGCAGGTCACACCTACCCATTTATACACTGAAGGCAGAGGTTTCTATGTAAAGTGACCATCAGAAGTAATTAATCCCATTCATATGCATTCAAATGTCGCTGACGGAGCAACTTGAGGTTAAGTGTCTTGCCCAAGGACACATTGGACATGTAGCTGCAGGAGCTCGAGATCGAACCCCTGACCATTCCTAACCAACTGAGCCACAGCCGCTCTTTGGACAACAGCACTTGTAATGATACAACTTTTCACAACCAAAGTAACACACACACTAGATCAGTTAAGATGTATCACAATATCAAATGTAGGTCTTAGATTGAGCATTATGTTCTTACCATGTGGAGCATCTTTCATAACCAACACCATGATAAAGCTGATGAAATTACATTTTTAAAAAGCATTATAATAATCTTCTTTCTCGATTGCTGCTTTTCTTGTTCTTTCTCTCGCATGTACAGTATGTCGCTTTGGGAAAGAAGTGTATGCTGAATGAACTCGTAACACTTAAACATTGTAGCAGCGCATCATTGCACCTGGTTGGTGAGTCAGCATCTTGGAGGGTTTTATGACCGACTCACACCCCCTGCTAAGTGATTTTGGGATGGCACTCAACCCTCAAGTGGTAATACAAACTGAGAGGAAGTTTATTTTTGAATTTAATCAAGCCTTTATTTTGACAAGTCATCGACTCACATGGTCGATTTCTCAGGTCAGATCTGTGTGAAGAGGCCGGTTTATAGAAGGATCTTCAAGTCGCACTCCAACGATACTGTCAATTAATGTGAATGAAATGTGAAATGTTTCTGGAATGAATGGAAATTGTACTACTTATTTAGTATAATGTAATATAGTATATTAAAGCGATATTTGCTGTAAGATTTAAAATTCTGATTCTCTTCCCCGTTGAGACAACTTTAAAAACATGAAACCTGTAACGCAACAGCAACATTGTCTCCATCCAAACACAACACTCACGCTAAATGAAACCCCACCACAATATTTGTAGCTAACTGGAGATGTATCATGCGATAAAATACACAATGAATCAAGTTTGTTGTGCTTTCAGACGGAGCGCCCTTGACTTGAGTTTGTGCAGTAGTGAGTTGTTTGCAACAGAATCCCCAGCCCTGTCACTTTTGTTTGTCTCGCATCACTGCGTGCGTTTCATAACGCTGTAGAACTGCGGAGGTTGCGTCACCTTTAACCCGTAATAGTAAACCTAATCACACACAGAGAAAGAGCCCCAGTGTCGCAGTTGAATCACCTCTGAATGAGATCTTTCCCAACAGCCCTGAGGATTTATTCATCAACATGTGATGCCTGTGTGGGTTTGTGTGTGCTCAACAGTGTGTTCCCATGCCTTTCTCAATACTCACTCTTTGGGTGGAATCCAGTAACATTTTTTTTGACAAATTCCCACTTACTGCTCCCCTTTCCCCTGTAAAACAACCAGACGTGGACCCCTCCGACTGAGCTGTATGCACGTCTCTCAGTCAGATCGAATCATTTAGTTGTCCTACTTTTGTCAGCACATCACTTGTGGATGGATTTATCTTCAGTGTGTCTAAAGGGGGCTCGGCCATTGTGTGTCCTGTACAGGGTTAGTCAGTGATTTATCGCGCACAGACAAAGACACAGATAGCTACACACTCAAACACACATGAGCACGGAGTTGATTAATCACCGATGTGTCTAACCCCACGCTCTCAAGTTTGAATTCTCCAGGAGCGACGTCGAAACGAAGACGGATGGCCCTCTTTGACAGTGTGTTATCTTTCTGTCAGACACACTCGATGAAAAATACCCAAACGACAAGCTCAAACAGTGGCCAGTGTGTGTGTGCGCCTCAGCGTGGCCTTTAAGGAAGGAGCTCTCTGTGTTGCTTCGTGGTGAAATCGGCCCTGCCGCTTGTGGTGAAGTTTTATAGGAAAGTGAAAGAATCTACAATATGCTTTCACATAGTCTTTAAATGTTAGCCTGTTGGACAGATTTGTGCTTTTTTTGGTTTGATCCTTTTGAGTTTTAAAGTTTTAACACTATTATGAAGTGTTGTGCAGCCCGGACCAAACCAGCAACTTTCATACTGAAAGTAGATCTGAAAGAAGCAGGGGCCTTTAATTATGTAGAAAAATATATTCTTTGGTTTTACTTTTTGTTTAGATTTTTAAAGTTGGGAAAACTCTAAAATGAAAAAGGTTTGAACTTCTTTTGTAATTTTATAACATTTGAGGATCTGTTGTGGTAAATTAATAACAATTTTTATTTAGAATAGCGTTTTGCAACAGTGTACACACACAGATATTAGAAAACATTTATTTTAGAGTGAGATCATTTGGTTTCCTTTAAAATCTGTTTTAATGTGGTGCACAAATCATTGACCAGGGAACAGAAAGCCTAATGAGACTTTACGACACTTCAAAAATAATGAAAGTCAATCAGTCACACTAATGTCATTTCTCATGAATATTTTTGCCAATTTTGAAAAAGACAAAGAAAAACATTAAATTGTTACTGAAACCTCAATATATATATATAAATGATATGTGTTTTTTATATGCACTTTGCTGTAAGGTATGAGTAGTTTGATGTTTGTACGGGTCACCTGCCACTTTCTTTCTTTTCTATATTAATGTCACCAAAATCGGATCCATTTAGAAATGTTTAAATTTCCTTTGCACATTTTTAAACAGTAAATAAATAAGTACTGAACCAAAGATGTAAACAAGAAGTAAAAGAGTCAAAAAGTCATCAAGAGACAAAATGAAAAGGAAAGAGTCCAAAATACAAATAAAATACACTGTGTATGTTTTATTTTTTATCAGCATGTTGAGAAAATATATGCCTGATGTATCGCCAATGATACAAAACAAAACTTCTCAATTCCTGGATTACATTTTTTAGAAGGTTTTTCTAAATATATATATATTGGATGGTTCAGGCCGTACAGGGTTGAGTCATAATTTATCATTTCTAAAAAACATGAAAACAAGAAAAGTCTAAATACATTTTCTTTGTCTAAATTCTGTTGGAATTTTGATTGAAATTAAGTTAAGGTTTAATTCTGATTTAAGTCTGACTATTATTCACTGATTTAAATTAACTGTTAGATCAAAGATTTTAAGAAAGTCATCTAGAGATGAGCTCACTTTAAAAGACAGCATTAACCAAAAATACTGTTTACAGTGTGTCCTCATCATCCAGCAGCAAGGCGACAATAATTCACCTTTTGGTTTCACGTTCAGTTTGTATTCAATCATAATTTAGTCATCAGACTGGTTTTCAGCCATATATTAGGAAACTGCATGAATCCCTAGAGGGTCTAAAACCATCAGCAGTGTCTAAGGAAAATACCCTCTAATGTGCCCCGCAGACCTGCCCAGACATGTCTCTGCTCAACACATCATTATTTGTGTTGCTTTAAGTACACTACATGGACCATAGATCACACTCACTCTGTGGTTAACTTCACTCGGCTGTATTAAGGCAAATATAGCGCTCCATGTATGTCAGGCTTATATCATGTGCATTAGCACAAGACTGCAGGCCTCGACTGTAATAGCATCTCAATTAGGTAAGTATGCTGTAAATTACTGCAAGGCCAAATACTGGGAATACTTGAGGGCCGGGACAGAGTGTTGTGTTTGTTAGGAGTCCATCTGTAAGGCATTTAGGGCCCCTCAGCTTTAAAAGCACGGCTTTGAGGGGGGCAAGGAGTAAGTGTGTGTGCATGGATGTGTGTGTTTAGACTGCTTACAATCCAGACTCAGTGGGTGGGTGGGGGGCGCTTTGGAGATGAGGGCCTGGTAAACACACATGCTCATACACATACATATTTATACATAGGACGGCATAAATAAATGTATACATTATACAAAAATACAAGTGGTGATACACATGTTGTGTAATTGAGTTTATCTTATCGGTGCAGCAACAGGAACAAGGTCATTACCTTTAAAACAAGAAGGTACTGTGGCTTAAGCGCCAGAGGAACAACATTTCACACCGTAAACCTTTTAAGGATTTGCAATGTGTGAGAAGTCACATCCAATCATCTTTTTCCTCAATTTTGGACACCAACAACAAGCTAAACCCACATCAACAGAAACTTTGAGTGTAATTCCTTTAAAGTCCCCGGGGTGTTCTTAAAATTCTTAAATTTTACGATCACCAAAGAAGAAATCAAACACAACAAAGTATTTATTCTCAAATGAAACCCAGTAATACTGTAATAAAACTCACAGCATGTTGCAGACCACATTCAGAGATATTAAAGCTTTTTTAAAGAGACGTTTTCATTCTTTGGACTTTAAATTATGCTTTAAAGTTCACTGAGGTTCACTGAGAGAAAGGTGTTGCTATTCAGCCTGTTTAGGTTCACGTGAAAGATTGAGAGGATTTTCAGTTGCAGCAGTCGTCTTTTGAAATATATTTGGGAAGGGGAATAATAAGGGAATTTGTGTTTCAGTCGTAAACAACACAATCATGTCTTTTGAATGGGCTTGTTAGTGATCACTTTTTAAAATCAATTCAAGATGCAAAAAAACAGAATAATGAGGTTCTTTCACTCATTGGTTCATCCTTTTGTGTGTGTGAAGTGATCAATATTTGTGTTGTGTTCATATTTATTTTGGTCAAATTGCAACTGTATCAGACTTAAATATTCCTCATAACTTTTTGGGAAAAAAATACAATTTGACACAAATTTCATTATTTTTCATTTTCATATTAGCAAATCCAAAATGGACACACGTCTCTTTTCCTCTACCCTCCCCTGTGCTTGCATTCAGCCCCCTCTCTGCCCTGAGAGCACCATGTCTGTTGTTGTGCTGTGTTTTGATATATGTGTGTATTTGCCCACAGTGTGCTCAGCAGGGGAGCCGAACTGACCAGGCCGGGCTAAACAAAGAGAGGAAAAGGAAGCGCTTGCACGCATACAAACGCACACACGCAAATCCTGGAACACACAGCTTCACTGCAGTGGCCGAACACTTTTTTTTTTTTACTGCCCTGTGCTGCAGACAAGCACAAAACCAGCACAAACAGAATCCCTGTGCATGTCTGGACTTGTCCTAGCAGTTCCTTCTGATTAAATCTCTTAATCCAATTCTTCACAAATGTCTTTTCACCTCCAGTGAATGTTTCTGGAAGGGGAATAAAAGATGTAAATCTGTACACGCTTGAGTTGCGGTTTGATTTCAGTGCAAGATGGTACTGAAGGAACATTTTAATTTATCCTTTTAGGCAAATGTTCTCTCTTTCTGGACAAGGAGGCCAAAGGAGTAATGGTTCTCAATTTACCACAAGAGACAAATTAGAGCACAGACTTTAACACAGTGTGCTGCTTCTGATAGGATTTTTGATTCAAAGCTCCTGTCTGGCATTTTTAGCTGGTGATGAAACCGATTGAAATGAATACTAATGGATCTGTGTGACCAACAAAAGTAACCAAGACAATCAGCAACAAGATTGATCATAAAGGAGAAAATGACACCCCAAATTCAAGAACCATGCTGACTGTGATGTTGTCGAGGACTACAGGCGCTCTCCTGGTTTCCTGCTGTGCTTGAATGTTGTGTTGTTTGTCATCTGTCTTATTCTTGTGAAGCCGAAGACAATTTTCCACTCTGTGGACAAATAAAGTTATATTCTATTCTATTCTATTCTATTACTACAGAGTCATTTTTAATGTCTTTTTAATGTCTTTAAGCGCTGCCACTGGGTAGGTGTCAGCTGATGTCAGTAACAGCCTGCTGCAGAAAAAAAGTCTTTGTTCACATTTTTATCAGGAAAGATTCACAGATAAAATAAATAAGAAGGAGATCTTTCATCAGAAAATAATACTTGTATTATTACACATGTACAGGACAAAACTCAGCAACGAGATAAGATGAACTGCTTTGACCACAGGGGGCGCCAAAATCAACACATCAAAGTTCCCTACAGGACCTTTAAGATGTTGTATAACAGGATGTTAATGAAACTCATGAACACATTTATCATACATTGTGCCATTGTGTTACAGATCTGTACAATTGAAGTAAAATGAAATTGTAAAGATCCTGGTGCAATCTTGTCCATGACTCCAGGGGTCTCCCGGCCCCACTTTGAGAACCACTACATCTGCCTCTGGAGAAGCTATGATCGATATCAGCATTACGTTTTGTTTCAAATTTGCGATCAAAATGCAGCCTCTGTGATTTCACTGAGCACAATGATATTCAATATATGACAAATCCAGATGGGAACGTTTTTTCTTCTGTATAATTTGAACAGGCAAAGGGGAAGAATGACACTTTTTAACTTTGATAACCGTTTGAAGCTGTGTTGTACATTCTCATAAGATTATTCATGTCTCTGCAGAGATGTGCCTTCTGATAAACCTTCAAGCAAACACTGTAAACCAACAGCAACACACCCTTTATGGGTTTTTAGCACAAACTGTTGTTTTTTTTAGCTATTTTCATTTTAACTCCTGACCCAGCAGCCTCTCCTTTGACTCGCTGCACCACCCTGCACTGCACCGGGCTGAACTGTTTTTTCTCACGTCGTCACTTCCCACCGTTGATGTGGTATCTTTACAGCGTTGTGAACTCGATAGCATGCAACAAGTGGAGTGCTGCTGTGAGTAAGATAGCGCAGCAGGAGCGGTGTGCTGTTTGTAGTGCAGTCCAGCAGTAAATCATGTTTGGGCAGTGCGCTGGGGATGCAGCCCCTGGCAGCTCCCAGACGGCCTTTGGCTCTGGCTCCTTTCTCTTAGCGCCACTCTCTAATTTCAGACCCTGCCTACTACTGTGTCTTTACCGCATTCCCACAAACCAGAGACGGACAGTCTGCCTGCATGTCTGGCTCTCGCAGTCTCTCTCGCTTTCTATCTCTCTTAGTCTCTGCCCGTTGTGTCTCTCTATCACTCTTTCCCTCTCACTCTCTGCTCCTTGGCCTGCTGAGCTTGCTCCTTCTTCTTCTTCTCCTTTCTGTCTGGTTATGTGCCTTCAGGATTATAGGTCTGCAGTCTCACTCACAGCATCTAAATCATGTCCAAAACTGCCACTGTCTCTCATCAACTCTCTCCCCAAGTCTCCCTCTTTCTAGCACCAACCGTGGGCTTGCTCACTGGCTGTAAATACCCATGCTACATTTCCATTTTAATTGCCCACGTTTTCACAGAGCCCTGGGATATATTTTTTGCACATTTATTTTATTGTCTTGGCTGAACGCCCCCCTCTACTTTGGGTTGGACCTTACCACTAATATACTCCGACTTGGACCAGTTCATTATCAGCAGGGAGGTGTGCGCTTGTTTAAGAAGGTTATGAAGGGGTCAGCGTACAGTTCATGAAACAGGGGTCTGTGTTTTATTGGGACCTGTAGTCTCACTAATGCACAGTGCTAAGTAGCCCTGGTGCCACCCTACTGTTGAGTGCTATTAAATCAGTCTATACTGCATGGAACAGTAAACCAGCTGCGAATAATGCCAAGCTGTGTAAATGACTCCAGAGACCAGGAGTGTAAATGTCATCGCTATTAAGTCAAGCTGGTACCTGGGGAACGTGTAATGGGGTATATGTGCATAGGTTTACTACTACATGTATACCTGTGTGTGTGTTTTACGGAGATGTGTATCGCAGCTATTAAACCAATATCTACCCGTGGGGTGCTGATGGCCTAGTGTTTAGGTCGTGCCCTGTGTAAGGAGGTTACAGTTCTCCAAGCAAGCGGCCCGCATTTGAGTCCGATCTGCAGCTCCTTTCCCGAATGCCATTCCCCGTTCTCCCTCCCTAAGTTCTGACTCTACCCACTGTCCTCTCCAACTAAAGGAATGGAAGCCAAAAAATCTATCTAAACAATATGTACCCACAATCTGTAAATAAAAGCTGTACTACACTAAACAATAATTTAACTAAATAATGGAAAAAAATGAATTCCTGCCAGCTATTCCTCCTGTAGTTTGGCTCGTTTCCCATCATGCCAAACCTTCTCTCGGGCACGTCTACTTCTCGTGTTCTAGATGCCGAAGACTCTGCTATACTATGGGCTCAGACCCCAGACAGCAATACCCCTATATGGTAACACAAATTATCAGTAGAAATTGTCTGATTCATAGTCTAGTTCACTTCTTTTCCCCAGAATATCTCCTTGATTGAGATCACAACTTTCATGTGTAGACTTGTAAATAGGATTGCGTATATTATGTTAACACTGATGTGTAGAGAAATGTGTTTTTTCAAATAGAAAAAGTTTCCTCAAAAAGTAAAGCCTACAGTTACAAGATGTGGAAATACTCCTCATAGTAAAAATAAAAAACTATAATTTTGGTATCAAACCTAACTTCAGAACTAGCAGTTGTGACTAACAAATAGAGCTAAACCCAACTGTACCAATACACAACTCCTAATCTCTATTAATTATCTTGATTTTTAGGGGACTGTTCTAAAAGAACAAAAACCCCAAAGGCCTCACCCTGAAACTGGTGAAGGGGAAGCAGGCATTACAAATACAAAGTGTGGTTGCAGTGCTAGTTGTAGATTCTTGACTCGTATTTATCTCAATATGCAAATATGCTCATGTTTACTCGCTTTGTTTACCATCTAACTGTTGTATGTCATGCTGAGTCTGATGTCAATGTGATAATGTTGAATATCATTGACAAAAATATCTGCAACATTTGTTTAGGTCACCAAGGTAATCAGAGTTGAACTACTTGGGCCCATTCATATCTTTAACAAATTTCATAGTGGCATCCTATAGAGTTAGAGACCTTTTACTAAAACATCAACAACAACCACTAAACCTTGTGAGTTGCACCAGAAGAAAATTATGGGGATCACTAATATAAGACATAAAATATCACATTTCTTACTTACTTGCTGTGATTTTCCGGTCGACCAACTCTCCCCTTGCCATCCTACAGCAGTGGATTCAAATTGAAACAAGGAGCAATTTATCATCGTGGCCGGGTGTTGTGCCATAGCAGACTCGCACCCTGGTTCATGGAATTATTTTAACTTACTGTTACTAATGCTGGCGTGTTTATGACTGTGTAAAGAGTTGACTGGGCCACTTGTGGTTCAGACATTGGCCCTATGGTGCTCCATGCCCAGACACATCCCTCAAGCAACATAAGGCTTGCCAGTGTCGATAGTAAACCATGATATGTGTGTGTACGTGTGTTTGCCTGAGTTGCTCCTTCCACTCTATATGCCCAGTCTGCTGTCTGCCCCACTTTGCTCTAACGACATCGGGGTTTCTGCAAAACACTTAACAAACTGTCTATATTCCATAGTGAGTTATTTTCTTCGGTTAATGACTAATGATTTTACAGGAGTATAATGGGGGTGTTTTTCTATACCTCTGGGTCCTGTGTTTCCCAGAAAAACAATTAAAGCGTCATACCTTTCAATTGTGTGCAATTAACTTTGTAGTCCACACAGGATACAGGCCTTGCACAGTCTCAAGTGGTACAATGGAGGGAATCAGGAAGCTGTTACTTGTGGCCAAATCAGTCAATGGGGCCGTCAATGGGAACTGCATATTTACAACACTCAGAATTTTTGACTGTCATATAAAGTCTGGAGCAGTTCATCCTGTCTTAATGATGTAGATATAGTGGGAAAGACATATCATAAGCCACATCCTGTCTCGTTCAGTAGAGGTAAGGATCTCACTGAGTAAAAGTACAAGAAGTTCAAGGAGTCACTTCTATTGTCTGCAGTGGTTCAGGAGTGTTATTGCTGGACATAGCTGGTTCACAGTGAGACAGATAAGCTCTTTTGTTCTGCAAGTGTAGAATTTCTGCCTATGACACGCTGCCCATTTTACTGCTAAGGACTTTCCTTCCAGGAATCTTTCAATATGGGCCAAGTGGGAACAAAAGCAACAACATTCACAGGTACAAAGAAAAAAAACCCTGCATTGATTGTTTTGAATGGAGACAGCAGGGTAGTCAGAAAACAAGTATTGTGTAAGCATTGCTCAATATAAACAGAAATAGTCATATGGGAACACATGACATAAACAAACACATTCACTGCTACACTTCCGTGCTTTTCTGTTTGTTTTATAAGGGACATAATTGACAATGATTTAACTATAGGTGGTCCTTTTTTTAGATGAAGCTGAGGATGTAAACACAGCTCTATGAATAGACTGCTGATGATGGAATCACAACTCTAAACCCACATTCAACACTTTTTGGCCGCTTGGGAGCAGCAGAAAGACGGTTTATTGACATATTATCAACCTATGAAGATGTTTTATTTTGATTTATATTAACTAATACTGCAGATATGGGCAACATTGGCATTCATTTTTACAACATAAACATGTTACAAAGTTACAAACTGTTTTTTGCCTGGGTTTTGTGGAATTTCTTTTCACCAGAAACAGCTGCTTGCTTCTAAAAAAGATGCTATGATCCAAAAACAACGAGTAGAACTGCAACTCTGAG